GCCATTCCTGCCTAAATAATTTATTAACCTTCTTCAGCAAAGTCTTTGAGGCCGTTGATCAGGATAAAGAACTCAATATTGTTTATTTAGATTTTAGTAAGGCTTTTGATAGAGTACCACATCAGAGACTGTTGAAGAAAGTGGCTGCCCATGGCATTGGGGGAAAAATGCTGTCATGGATCGAGTCATGGCTCACTAATAGGAAGCAGAGAGTGTGCATAAATGGGGTTAAATCTGAGTGGGATCTGTAACAAGTGGCGTTCCGCAGGGATCAGTTTTAGGCCCATTGTTGTTTATATATATAAACGACCTTGATGAGGGAATTACTAGTGACATAAGCAAATTTGCTGATGACACGAAGATAGGTAGGATAATCGATTCAGACGCTGATGTCTCACAACTTCAGGAGGATTTAGACAAACTCAATTCGTGGTCAGAAAAGTGGCAGATGCAATTCAATGTAGATAAATGTAAAGTTCTAAAGCTCGGAAATGTTCATAACCCTAGCACCTACCAGCTTAATAATGTTGAACTTAGCAGTATAGAATGCAAAAAGGATTTGGGGGTTATGGTAAGCAGCAACCTTAAACCGAGACAGCAATGCCTAAGCGTACGTATTAGGGCAAATAGATTATTGAGATTTATATCAAGAAGTGTAAGCAACAGAAGTCCAGAGGTTATACTGCAGCTTTATACATCATTAGTAAGGCCTCACCTAGATTATGCAGCTCAGTTCTGGTCTCCATATTACAGAATGGACATAAATTCGTTAGAAAACATTCAGCGTAGAATGACTAAATTAATACATAGCATTAGAAATCTTCCTCATGAAGAAAGATTGAAGACCCTTAAATTACATTCACTTGTTAGACGAAGAATGAGGGGAGACATGATCGAAGTGTATAAGTGGAAGATGGGTATAAATAAAGGGGATATAAATAAGGTCTTGAGGATATCTCTCCAGGAGAGAACCCGCAGTAATGGATTTAAATTAGATAAGTTTAGATTTAGAAAGGACATAGGAAAGTATTGGTTTGGAAATAGGGTAGTTGATGAGTGGAACAGTCTACCTAGTTGGGCTATTGAGGCTAGGACATTGGGTAGTTTCAAATTTAGGTTGGATAAATATATGAGTGAGAGGGGTTGGATTTGAGTGGGACTTGCAAATGAGTGGATAGAGTTATCAGAGCTTATTTCTTGGGTAGCATTGAGGATTGGGTTGGGAAAATGTTTCATTAGTGGGATGAATTGTAAAGGACCTGCCGAGCATGGGCCAACAGGCCTGCTGCAGTGGTCCTCCTTTCTTATGTTCTTATGAAAGGAATGCAGGAAAGTAATGATGACACACGACCATTTACCTAGGATAACTACAAAACACAACTGCCTGCTAATACTTTGAAGAAAACTGCTCAGATGAGGTGTTTTGTCTTTGCACATAAAAAAAAACTTCCACAAAAATGCACACACACTGGTTTTATGTGTGAGGAGTGTAAAACACCATTGTGTATGACACCATGTTTCAAAGAGTTACACAAGCTGTATATTGGTATATATATTATAGAACAATAGTAATAAAAAAATTTTGTATTGTTTGTTTTTGTAAACAATATATTGATAATTATGTGTGCTTATTGTGTTGTATACAACGAGTGTATATATGTACATTGCACCTTACTTTAGTCTCACAGGCCACATAAGTTATGTGAAAAAATAAAATAGTGAAAAAAAAAAAACCCTTCAAATACAAGTAAACCAAAGTTTACCGGGCGAGTGGCAGTCGCCGCTGTTGCCATATGCAGCTCATTTTCTGCAAACTTCATGCCTCTATATCTGGGTAAGTACTGATGGGAAATTTTTTTTTTTGTACTAAAACAATCAGAAAAATAATCTTAACATTTTCATAAGAAATTTTTTTTTTTTTTTCGAATATTTTGCGACACCAGTAGACACTTCAGGATTGGGCCTTTCGACAGTCAAAGAGTTAAGGATCAAGGGTACCAACCCTCCAAGGGTTAAGGTAAATAATGAGGGTACTGTATGTGTACAGTAGGGCCCCGCTTTACGGTGTTTCACCTGACGGCATTCCGCGATTGCGGCAATGTCAAATTATGACCAAAATTTACTATACGGCAAGCAGTCTTTCAAATATGGCGCGCCTCACCCAGTTTGTTTACGTTCTCCATGACCACATCTATTATGTCTGGAAACTTTCCAAAATTTCAAGTGTTTTATAGTTATTGTGTATTTTATATGTACTCTGATAATTATACTTATGTGTACCTGTACCTAAATATACTTACACACCGTGCTGGGGTGCAGGTACACATTAAAATCGCTAAGTCTCTCTCTACTCATGATGCCAATAGTACGTAATAATCATCACTCTTGGGCACGTTAAATATCTTATATTACATTAATGTAGACATTTTCATTAATCCATCTATGATATTTTCCTCAAAATTATATAAGAATTCTGACTCTCCTCTTCACAACTTACAGTTCTAAGACTGATGGAAGTGGATCTGTACCATTTGGCACCATTGTACCATATGGTACAATGGTGCCATGTCATACAATGGTATCATATAGTACATTGTACCATATGGTACATTATACCATATGGTACATTATACTATATGGTACAGGGACCCTAATGGAAATAAGTCTATCTGACTTTTTTGGGTTATCCTAGGTTCTCCAAACATATGCTATGTATGATAATCTATGTAACTTTATTTGTGTATACCTAAATAAACTTGCTTACGATGCCACATGCTCCTGAGTAAATGTATTCAGGTGTACACAAATACAGTTACATAGATTATCATACATAACAGCATATGTATAAAATCCTAGGATAACCCAGAAAAGTCATGGTGACTTATTTCCATAGGGATCACTGTATCTGTACCATATGGTGTCTTGTACTGTATGGTACCCTGTACCATATGGTACCCTGTAACATATGGTACCATGTATCATATGGTCAGTAGGAGTTGGTGCCACGAGGCACCAGCCAAGACTGAGTGGCAACGCTAGTGACCCGGCAGTTTCCAAGACAAAGCACTTTGTCATCCACCTCAAGGAACATGTCGAGTGGCTGTACATTTGTAAATATATAATAGAACATTACTAATATACAACATTTTTGCATATTTTTGTTGTAAACAATTCTTGTAAATGAAATAATGATGAAAATATTAGTGTGTTTATTGCGATGAATACAACAGTACCATATGGTACCATTGCACCAGATGGTACCATAAGGTACCATTGCACCCTATGGTACCATTGTATTCAACACAACACCCACGCTAATATTTTCATCATTTTGTTTACAATAAACTTGTAAACAAGTTTTGTAAGCAATATAATGATAAACAAATTAGTGCAGTTATTGTGTTGAATACAATGAGTGTACACTTATACAATATACATTATATTGGTCTCAGGCCACAAAAGTTACTGGAAAAAAAAATATTAGGAAAGAAAAGAAAAAAGTAACAAAAACCTAAAATAAAATAATGCGACTTTACAGAAGTCGCTGATGTTGCCACCACCAGGTCACTGAGAGTCAACTTCACGCCTCTATATCTCGGTAATTACTGATCAAAAATTTTTTTGTTTGTTTTATTACCTACAGAAAATTATCATCTTTAATTCTGGAAGAAAAAATCTTTTTTTTTTTTTTTTTTTCAAAAATTCTTGAACTATGGTGCACCCTTTGAGATTTGGCCTCTGGACCCTGAAAGGGTTAATGCCTTGTTCTATTACTAACTTAATATAATTTAGTGTAAACTTGTTGTCTGGCATTTATATGCATTTATAAATGGAAAAAATGGCGTTCTGCTTTCCGGCGATGTCTGCTTTCCGGCGACAGCCTGGAACCTAACCCGCTGTATAAGTGGAGCTCTACTGTATTTTATCACTCTGGGGCACTTTAAATGTTCCATACATGTATTAGGTGTAGGTGTGGTAGCCAGGCGAGCTACCACACCTACCACTTGACTTCCTACAATAAATACTACTACCCTCTCACCCTACATTAACCCTTTCAGGGTCGAGGCCAAATCTCAGTGACAGCCAGGGTCCAAGAATTTAAAAAAAAAAAATTTATTTTTTCTTTCAAAGTTTATTCTCTATAAGGATTACAATGCTGAGTTTACAGAATTTGGTTGTTGTGTGGTTTACATGTAGTAAAATAATAATTACAGAGTGTACCACTAGAACACCTATCACATCTTATGAGATGGTAGAAGGTAATACAGCAAAAAGTACAAAATTTTATGGAAAACTGATGAAATTATGCTCTCAAAAATTTTGATGTGTCAGCATGATTTATGCATCGGCAATTTTGCCAACTTTGACTCCCATTTTGGAGCCTATTACATTATTCCAGTCAACCAAATTCTTAGTTATTTCACTAGTATTACTGCTATTTTATCGATTGTGCACAAGAAATCGCCCAGTCAACTGTTGCAACTGCCCAATAAAGTGATCAGAAATTTGTAATTTGTTAACTTAATATATATGTTAATGTAAACTTATCTGGCATTTACATGCATTTATAAATGGATAAAAGGGCGTTCTGCTTTACGGCAATTTCTGCTGTATGGCGGTAGCTTAGAACCTAACCCACCATATAAGTGGGGTCCTACTGTAAAGTGAAATTATGGTATTATAGCATCAAATTAGTAAGACAACAATACAGGTGCAAACTTTATTTTATATTTCAGTTTCTCTGTAAAATAAAGATGTAATTTTAAAAAATCAAAATAACCGAGTACTAAGAAATTCTTTTAATGCATGCAAAAGAAACAAAAAAAATCAAAATCTAAGCGTTTAATTTTTATTTTTTAATCAAATTATACACCTGAGCTAATAGAATTCACATTAATTATTGTCATTATCACTAAAATTATTATAATTTTCCCATTCAACTTAACTTAGATGTGGCCAGTTTGCCACATCTAAGTTTAAGAAGCACTGCTGTATATTACCTAAAGTGGTTCTGAAGATCAAGTTTTGTGAAGAACTGCTGGTTACAGAACACACATTTGTGAGTGGGTGGTGAACACTCTAATGCAGACATATTCAAAACCTGTAAAAATACATATTTTTTTAATGATTACTTTATACAGATACTTTGAAGCAGCACAACTTATAAACAATTCCCAGACAGATTTCCTAATGGTATATTGAGTCCAGCTATCTAGAGAGCCTCTTAAATTCACAACTATTAGAAATTGTTATTTTCTATTTTCTTGACACAACACACAATTTTTAAATAAAAACAACTCTTAAGGAGCTGTACTAGAATTGAAGTATACCACCAGTTTTCATAATTAATCCATTCCAGAAAGTTGGCCTAATCCGAAATGGCCGAAAACAAGTAATATTTCCCACAAGAAATACAGCGGAACCCCAGATATCGGCTGATGCAGATATCAGCCGAATCGGATTTCGGCCACTTTTTTGGCCAAAATTCAGGACAGAATTTTGGCCAGCAACTCTGAAATCGGTCATATTGGACACGTCTGCCTGCCATTGCCCCACATTCATGAGTCAGTCTGGCTGTGTCTCTGAGTGAGTGAGCAACATTCCGCACATTCATCCAAACATTTCGGTATAATCCATTATTTTTTGTGGTTAATTGAGTGTGACTGCGAAATAAGCCACCATAGGCCCAAAGAAAGTTCCTAGTGCCAGCCCTTTGGTAAAGAAAGTGAGAAACACAATTGACTTCAAGAAAGAATTATGGACATTTGTGCAAAGTGGAGGGAGGTGCAAAGTTTTGTGGAGAAATATCACCCTGACCAAGCTCAAACAAGTCATATCTGCAACATGTTCAGTGACAAAACCTTGTCCCACTTCAGACAAATCTTAAAGAGATGCCAGAACCAGACCTCTCTGGACAGTTTTTTTGTGCGACAGGGGTACAGTGACTCTCAAGCTGGTCCTAGTGCCAGTAAAAAACAAAGGGAAGTAACCCCAGAGAGGGACTTGATACCTGAAGTCCTTATGGAGGGGGATTCCCCTTCCAAACGATAAGCTCTCCTCTCTCTTCCCTCCTCGCCTTCTTCAATACACCAACAAGAGTCTTCAATAAAGGTATGTAACATTCAGTTATTAAAATTTGTGCTTTATATTTAATTCTCAATTGTTTTCTGATTGTGCAACTACAGTTATTCTTTAAAAAATGTATTTTTTGTTAATATTTTTGGATATCTGGAATGGATTAATTGTACTTACATTAATTCTTATGGGAAATATTACTTTAGTTTTCGGCCTTTTTGGATTTAGGCCAACCTTCTGGAGTGGATTATGGCCAAAATCCATGGCTCCACTGTAACGTAAATCCAATTAATCAGTTTCAGACACCCAAAAATATTAACAAAAAATACATTTTATAGAGAATAACTATAGTTTTACACACAGAAAACAATGAGAAATAAATAATTGATAATTGAACATTACATACCTTTATTGAAAACTCTTGTTGGAGAGTAGTATTTATTTGTAGTCCCAGAGGGACTACATCCCAGGTGTATAGCTACAAACACAGTGGCCTACAGCCATATTATTACTATTGACATACCATGTTCACTGAGTTTAATTGTTTCTAACAACTACCTTTAGATGCCATCATAAACAATGGGAGAAGTAACGAATAGTTCATGCTGAGAACTGTAAACAAAAAGCCTTATGTACTATTAAGAGCGTTTACTGGGCCAAAGCAGATTCATACACATTTTCTCTGAAGATGGACCAGAGAAAACGTAATGTTTACCCTCCACTCGACCCCTCGATAACATATAAACATGGCATGTTATAGGCTATGTAATGTGTTTCTTATAGTATAATTTTGAAGAAAATATCATAGATGGATTAATGAAAATGTCTATATTAACAAAAAATGAGACATTTAATGTGCCCAAGAGTGATTATTATTGAACATACATCCTGTATAAACACTGCACACTTGTATGCCGTGTAACGTGTTTCTTACACAATTTTGAAGAAAATATCACAGATGGATTAATGAAAATGTCTATATTAAAGTAAAATAAGACATTTAATGTGCCCAAGGGTGATTATTATTACGTACTATTAGTATTACAGTGGACCCTCACCTAATGAACGCATCGCGTAACATTAAATCCGCCTAACGAAGCATTTGAGAGTAAAAATTTTGGCCTGCGTAATGATAAAAAACTCGCCCAACGTGATTTGTCCGGGACGCGTCCCATGTGTGGCCTGAGCGCACCTCAGCTGCCCCGTGGGTGCCAGTGTTTACAAGCCAGCCAGTGCGGTCGCATCTATGCATACATTCGATACATTTCACATTATCCCAGTGTTTTTAGTGCTTGTAACTGCAAAATAAGTCACCATGGGCCCCAAGAAAGCTTCTAGTGCCAACCCCCTGTGGTAAAAAGGGTGAGAATTAGTATGGAAATTAAGAGATAATTGCAAAGTACAAAAGTGGTGTGCGTGTCTTGGAGCTGGCCAGGCTGTATACCAAACCCCAATCAACCATCGCTACTATTTTGGCCAACAAAACGGCAATCAAGGAAGCTGTTCTTGCAAAAGGTGCAAATTTGTTTTCGAAACAGAGATCGCAAGTACTCGAAGATGTTGAGAGACTGTTATTGGTGTGGATAAACAAAAAACAGATAGCAGGAGATAGTATCTCTCAAGCGATCATATGTGAAAAGACTAAGAAGCTGCATGACGATTTAATTAAAAAAAATGCCTGCAACTAGTGGTGATGTGAGTGAATTTAAGGCCAGCAAAGGTTGGTTTGAAAGATTTAAGAATTGTAGCGGCATACATAGTGTGATAAGGCATGGTGAGGCTGCCAGTTCGGACCAAAAAGCGGCTGATAAATATGTGCAGGAATTTACGGAGTACATAGAGGGTGGAGGATTGAAACCTGAACAAGTGTTTGTAATGAAACAGGCCTGTTTTGGAAGAAAATGCCAAACAGGACCTACATTACTCAGGAGGAAAAGGCACTCCCAGGACATAAGCCTATGAAAGACAGGCTTACTCTTTTGTTGTGTGGTAATGCTAGTGGTGATTGCAAAGTGAAGCCTTTATTGGTGTATCACTTTGAAACTCCCAGAGTGTTCAGGAAAAACAATGTCCTCAAGGCTAATTTGTGTGTGATGTGGAGGGCAAACAGTAAGGCATGGGTCACTAGGGACTTTTTCTATGACTGGTTTCACCATGTGTTTGCCCCCACTGTGAAAGATTACCTGAAAAATAAATTGGACCTTAAGTGCCTCCTGGTATTAGACAGTGCTCTTGGTCATCCTTCAGACTTGGCAGAGCAAATTTCTGGGGACATGAGCTTCATCAAGGTCAAGTTTTTGCCTCCTAATACCACTCCTCTCCTGCAGCCCATGGACCAGCAGGTCATTTCAAACTTCAAAAAACTCTACACAAAAGCTATGTTTCAGAAGTGCTTTGAAGTGACCTCAAACACTCAACTGACCCTAAGAGAGTTTTGGAAAGATCATTTTAGTATCCTCAGTTGTGTAAACCTTATAGGTAAGGCTTGGGAGGGAGTAGCTAAGAGGACCTTGAACTCTGCTTGGGGGAAATTGTGGCCAGAATGTGTAGGAGAGGGATTTTCAAGGGTTTGGGGCTAACCCTGAGAAGCCTCTGCCAGCTGTGGATTCTATTGTGGCATCAGGTAAGTCCTTGGGGTTGGAGGTTAATGGGGAGGATATGGAAGAGTTGGTGGAGGAGGACAATGAAGAACTAACCAATGATGAGCTGCAAGAGCATCTGCAACAGCAAGAGACCACACCTGAGGAAACTGCTTCAGAGGAGGGGAGAGAGAAATTGAAGAAGTTGCCTACTTCAAAGATTAAGGAAATGTGTGCAAAGTGGGTTTAACTGCAAACCTTTATGGATAAAAATCACCCTGACAGCTATTGCAAGCCGTGTTGGCAACCTGTACAATGACAATGTTGTGGCCCATTTTAGGAAAATCTTAAAGGAACGTAAGGTACAGAGCTCTATGGACAGATTTTTTGTGCAACAGAGGTCCAGTGACTCTCAAGCTAGTCCTAGTGGCATTAAAAGAAGAAGGGAAGTAGCCCCAGAAAAAGACTTGCTACCTCAAGTGGGGTTAAATCCGAGTGGGGATCCGTAACATGTGGTGTTCCACTGGGATCAGTCTTAGGCCCCTTGTTGTTTATAATATCAATGATCTTGATGAAGGTATTACTAGTGATATGAGCAAATTCGCCGATGACACAAAGATAGGTAGGTAGGATAATTGATTCAAACGTAGATATCAGGGAACTTCAGGAGGATTTAGACAAACTCAATTCCTGGTCAGAATAGTGGCAGATGCAGTTCAACGTAGATAAATGCAAGGTTCTGAAGCTCGGGAGTGTCCACAACCCTAGCATTTATAAGTTAAAGAATGTAGAGCTTAGCCATACAGATTGCGAAAAGGACTTGGGAGTTATGATAAGCAGTAACCTTAAAGCAAGACAGCAATGCCTAAGCGTACGTAATAAGGCAAACAGATTACTGGGATTTATATCAAGAAGTGTAAGCAACAGTTCCGTGGTTATATTACAGCTTTATACATTATTAGTAAGGCCTTGCCTAGATTTTGCAGCTCAGTTCTGGTCTCCATATTACAGAATGGACATAAATTCGTCAAAAAACATTCAGCGTAGAATGACTAAATTAATACATAGCATTAGAAATCTTCCTCATGAAGAAAGATTGAAGACCCTTAAATTACATTCACTTGTTAGACGAAGAATGAGGGGAGACATGATCGAAGTGTATAAGTGGAAGATGGGTATTAATAAAGGGGATATAAATAAAGTCTTGAGGATATCTCTCCAAGAGAGAACCCGCAGTAATGGATTCAAATTAGACAAGTTTAGATTTAGAAAGGATATAGGAAAGTATTGGTTTGGAAATAGGGTAGTTGATGAGTGGAACAGTCTACCTAGTTGGGTTATTGAGGCTAAAACCTTGGGTGATTTCAAATTTAGGTTGGATAAATATATGAGTGAGAGGGGTTGGATCTGAGTGGGACATGGATAGAGTTAACTGAGTTTATTTCTT